CTGAATTTGTACCACTACCAATAGAAAATATATCGTAGTTTTTAATGATAGACAACAGGCTTATAGCAGAAAAAAATACTTTGTTCAAAATCCCGTATGAAGTAGATGTACGTCTCCACCCCCAGCCCCCTCCCCCTTTTGTAAAAACTTGAAAAATAACAATTTCATTAATTGACGTTTATTGTGAAACCTGTTATACTATGTTATGGATATTATACTTCAGTTGCCCTTTTTTTCATTTCCGTCAAGGATAAAAGCAGCGAATATGCACATTTTACTGATAAATTGATTTGGGGAGAATTCACAGGTACTTGGGTCTTGGTTTATCAGACCCGTAGAACGCGGGGGGGGGGGGGGGGCACTGCGTCCCCACTTTTCTGAGTATAGTACTTTGCTTTAGTAAAATTTCAATTAGATGCTTGTTGCCCCCCCCCCCCCCCTTTTGATGTTGTAAGGTCGAGCACTGGCAAATTCCACTTACTTTTTTTTATCATAAGGTACATACATACTTATAAACCAAGACCCAAGTACCTGTGTAAAAATTAGCTGTTAACGCTCTATGAATAGGATGAAGACTGAGTGCATTCAGAAAAAAATACTGAAATGTATTGATTAAAGCACACAATTTTACAACTTTAATTGTATTTGAATTATACCTTATTCATTAATTTTCTCTTTTCATGTAAGTTAGTTTATTACGAAGTACAATTTTTACTTCGGGTTCGTTGCCACGATGCTCTCATTGAGGAATATATGCAATTTTTACTGATAAATTAAAATTTATTAGGAAAAGCTATTATATATATGTAATAGTCTTTCGATATATAAATATATTAACAACTTATAGTCTTATCAATGATCTACCATTATTCAATGACCATTCACGCAAAAGTTTTTTTTTATGTTCGTACAGCTATAATCGCCTCGTTTTTCTTTTAACATCGGGCTCGATGCTATACGATAGTCTAGAAGCTTCCATCAATATTGAGATCGGTGAATGACAAAAATAATTTGCACATTTCCCATTTTAATCGGCTATCACAACTTATTTCTTTTATTTTATTTAAATCAAGTTTTGATTGAATAATTCAGTGATGACGTTTTATGAAATAAATAAACAATTGATTGTTGTCAGTTTCATTGAAAATTGCCAGTAACTTAGATCCGCCAACCGGAAACGCCACCGTACTCACGTTTTTGCTATTTCATGGCTGTTTATAGAAAATGAAAGTAGACTTTTAATTTAATGTACGATACTTACAATGCGAGTGAAATCTAAATTATAGTTTACGGACATCATCTTGTATCTAGTGTATACTTAGAGGAGTAAGTAAGAACTCTGGTGCACCCTTTTCGGAGTTTATTTGCAAAATTTATTAATTTATAAGTATAGATTGAACATGCATTATTTTTTTATATCTCCTTTGCTCCTTGGTATTAAGCAAACAAACAAGATAAGCAAGGGGGTCTTTTCCAAAATTGTAAATTTTATTGCTCTATTGATTTCATCGTGAAAATGTATCGATTCTTTGAAAATTTTCTCTACCCCTGGGTATTAAGCAAACAAACAAAGTGTATGGTTACGATAAGCAAGGGTGCCTCTTCCAAAATTGTGAATTTCATGGCCCCTAGGTCAGGGGTTGAGGTTTCAGGGTGGAAATCTATTGATTATACATTGAAAATGCATTAATAATTTCTTTAAAATCTTGTTTGCCCAAGGGTATTTATTAAACATATTGAGTGCGTGGTTATGATGTGCAAGGGTGCCTCTTCTAAGGTTCTTGCCTAAGCATTCAAGGGTTATATTCTCTGAAAACGCTTTCGTCAGTAACGTTTAATTTTAGAGAACGCATCTATGGACAAAGATGGCAAGAGTTTTTTTCCAGATAAATCTTGATTCTGTTTTCCTGAGAAAATTCTACTTACACATGTTACAGGAAAATGAATAATATTCCAGCTGCTGTATACAGGAAGTACTCATATGAGTACATTTTACTATAAGTCTTAGTTCCATTTCTGTGTCCAGTGTTCTCTAAAGTTTAGCGATGCAGATAAAACATTCTGACTGTTCATGGTATTTAAAAGTTCCAGCCACATCCTTATTTAAGGTGACCTATTTGCCTAAACAAAAATAAAATACCTATCAAAAGCAAACAAAACAATACTAAAACCCCACTAACAATAATAAACAAATACTTGTTCAGATTAAACGAGTCACCGAGGTAACCTGTAATTGCTATGATCCATTTTTGTGCAACCTACGACTTTTGATCTTCTTCCATGCAACAGTCAAGCTGATGTAAATTATGTTTGTTTAAACAAATACCGTTTATTGGTAAAGAGGAAGCTTTTGAATTTCATAGCCCTTGTCAGAGATGTGGCTTTAACCATCAAAATTAATGACATTTTCAAAAATCATCTTGAAGTTCTTTACTCCTTGACATCAAGTATTCAAACTGTTTGCATGATTACATGTATCTTGATAAGCCATGCATTAGCCCTGTACTAAAAACATGAAATTTATGACCTCTTGGTTGTTAGAAAATCGTATTCTTTACTCCTGGTTATGATAATAATGAGCAATGAACCCGTTACCAAATTTGTGAAATTAACCCCCGGCAGTTTCATGCCGCAAGGTGAGTCTGATATGGTCTATTTTGAAAATCCAATTTATGTTTAATAAATCTTCTTTTCTCCCGTGCAAGTGCGTGTGTGAGAAGTGGGAGAATTTCAAAGAGAGGGGGTGCCCGATGACCTTGGACCCACCTAGGAAACACAGACCCCGGTTAAATGGAAAAGAGTTACTAAATGAAAGAAAATGACTTGGCCAAACTCCTCTCCAAATTTTATTAGGTCACCTAGGTCACTCAGGTGACATACTACTATCTTTTTCGTCCGTCGGTCGTAAACTTTTGAAATTATTCAGCTTCTTCTCAGCTTCTTAACCGCTAAAACAAATTTCAACTGGTTTTGGTGTGGAGCATCTGGGGCAAAGGGATACAAAATTTGTGAATTTCATTGTCTCTGTCTTCCTCCCGGGGGCCTGAGGGGTTGGGCCAAACCATCATAATTACTGCAATTTTTTAACAAGAGATGTTTGTGAAACACTAATGCCCCCCCCCCCCCCAAATAATTGAAATATTTCCAAGTCCAAGGATCATAACTCAGTCAAAAATTGCTCGATCGTACCCAAAACAGAAGTTGACCTAGATATTCTTTTGATAAATCTGTAGATTTAATTTCATTTCAGTATGTGCATCCTCTGCGAAGAAAATGATCGGAAACTGCAAATAATTGCAGTCCAAGGGACCGTTCACGGAAGCTCAGGAGAGATCGGGAGGTCGGGAGTTCGAATCTCGGCCGCGACTGACCCAAGTCGATAAAGAATGGGTAGCAATGGTTTCTTCGACATGCGCTCGGCACTTTTAAGTAAAAGTTGCGGGTCCTTCGGATGAGACCTTAAAAATCGAGGCCCCGTGTCACGGCGGGCGTTGCCACAATAAAGATCCCTCACTGCTCAATGGCCCTAAGTGCCGAGTAAAGGTTTAAATTTGAAGCCCTTCACCGGTATATGGTGACGTCTCTACATGAGTGAAATATTCTCGATACAATCAATCAATCATTATACTTCTAGACATTAAGCAGTCAAACTGTGGGAATGATTATTAAAAGAAATGATTCCTTGACCAAAATTGTGAAACTCATGGCCTCAGGGTCAGAGATTCTCGAGTTAGAGTTGGACTCTATTGATCATTTAATGAAAATGCATTGATTCTTTGAAAATCTCCTCTACAGCTGTATAATTAGCACATAACCTAAGTGCAAGGTTATGAGGACTAGGGGTGCCTCTTCCAAAATTGTGAAATTCATGGCCCCTGGAGTCAGCGGTTTTGGTATCAGGGCGAGGCTCTATTGATCAAATAGAGAAATATGCATTAATTCTTTGCAAATCTATTCTGCTCGTGGGTATTAAGCTAACAAAGTAAGTGCAGAGTTATGATGAGCGAGGATACCTCTTTCAAAATTGTGAATTTTTTGGCCCCTGGGTCAGGGGTTCGGTTGTTAGGATGGGACTCTATCAATTAAATACTTAAAGTATTTGGGAAAAAAAACTTCTCTGTTCCTGTCTATTTAGCAAATAAATAAAATTCGTATTTATAATGAGCGAGGGTGCTGTTTTAAGTAGGGATGTGCGATTTTTACGGTATACCGGTATATTGCGATTTTTTGTCGCGCGATACGGGAACCAAAATACCGATATTTTTCACATGTTTAAAATTTCCGGAAATAAATCATTTAATAGACCAAACTTTAAAATTACAATTACCGGAAGTTTAAATGGTGACTTAATTCTGAAGACATCGATTTAATAAATTTCACCCGAGGTAAATCTGAGGTATGGAAATACTTCTTCGTAAAAAAAGACAAGAAAACAGGAAAAGTTATTGAAAACATAGCCGTATGTTCGAAATGTAAAATTGAAGTGAAATGCCCCGGTGGAACTACCAACCTAAACAGTCACATGAGGAGACATCATCCGAATTTGCTCGCTGAAGATCCTAATCCTACGAAGACTACTTCAGAAAAATTTAAAAAGCCCTTGGTAAACACACCTATATCTGGAAACTTGGTTTCTTTGTTTGGTAAAAAGTATGCTTCAAAAACGGAACGTGCAAAAAATTGCTAGATTTATTGTCAAAGATCTTCGACCATTCAGTATGGTTGATTCCCCTGAATTCAGAGATATGATAGCTTGTTTGGATAATCGTTACCAGGTTCCCTCCAGAAAGACTTTTAGTGAAATTGTCATTCCAAAAATGTATTCAGATGTGAAAGTTAAAGTTCAAAGTAGTCTTCGTGAAGCAGATATTTACTGCGTAATTTGTAGTGAATAAAATATTTTCAGATTTATAGACCAGTATGTTTAAAAGCTTTAGAAAAATCTTACATAAATATTTTAAGTGAAGTAATTAATATTTCACTCCTTATTAGGAAGCATTGACCACTGATGGCTGGAGTTCACGAGCAACAGAGTCCTACATTACGATTACTTCCACCCATATTGACAAAGATTGGAATTTTTGTAATTTTGTTTAGCAAACCAGGATGATGCCAGAATCCCATACAGGTTACTTCATAGTAAATGTTAAAATTTTGATTTGATTATATTTATTTATTTGCTTAATCAATTACTTATTTTAAGAAAATTGCTATAAATTGTAAATATTAATTAGTATACATGTATATTATAATTGGTTTTATTATTTGAAAAAATGAATTTTAAAATATTTGTCCTGATTGTAGGAGAAAATGTTGCAGAGGTTCTGAGAAATGCTGTGAAGGAATGGAATCTGCCCACTTCTTATGGATTTCCACCAGTGGTGTCTGATAATGCTGCTAATATGATGAAAGCCGGTGAACTCCTTGGAAACATTCATGTTAATTGTTTTGCTCATACATTAAATTTAGCTCGTCAAAAATGCCTTGCGGTTAAAGGACTGGAAAATATTCTTCCCAAAATCAGAAAAATTGTTGCCTTTTTTCATAGAAGCAACATTGCAGCAGCTTTGCTAAAGAATACAGCTGAATCTTTGTCACTACCTCAACACAAATTAATAATGGATGTCCGCACGAGATTGAACAGTGCCTATGATATGATCTCACGATTTCTTGAAATGCAGGTAGCAATATTTGCTACCTTGAAATCAAAGGAGTTAGGAAAAGAAAGAGAATCTGAATTGAAGTCTTTCCATGATGATGACTTTTCTGTGGCAGAGGAGGTGATCCAGCTGTTAAAGCCATTTAAGGACAAAACAACACTCTTGTGTTCAGAAAAATCCCCCACTTTGTCCATTATCTTGCCACTCCACAATAAACTTCTGGACAAGCTTTGTGAACAAAATGATGATACTCCCACTGTCCGCAGTATGAAAAATATTATATTTAAAGACTTAAAGGAAAGATATGCTCGCATTGAACACACTCTACGCATTGTTTCTGCACTGGATCATCGATTCAAGATGCTTCCATTTTTATCAGAAAATGAGAGATCAGCGGTGTACTCTGATATTGTTTTAGAAGTTAGAGTACAGAATATTATCAAAGTGAAAAGAGAGAAAGAAAACAAAGATGCTGAATTAGATGATGTTGAAGTCATGAGTGAGCCACTTCTGCCCTCACTATCTTCACTTTCAGATTCTCCGGCTGTTAGTCCTGTCGAAAAGAGAGTCAAAGCAGAAGATTTTTCCTCTACTAGTTGTGGTGATTGTATGGAATCTGTACTCCACAGTTTTTTAGGTGATGTGTACATTACCGATATTGAGCCTCCAAAATCACCAAATGTGATTGCTGAGCAGCAGGTGAACGAATACAGAAGTGCACGAGCAATACCTCTTCAGGAAGATCCTCTTTCTTGGTGGAAAGAAAATGAATTTAAATTCCCACTTGTTGCTAAACTTGCTAGAGCTTACTTATGTATACCTGCAACAAGTGTCCCTTCCGAAAGAGTTTTTTCTACTGCTGGAGATATATTAAGCGCACAGAGGGCACGTCTAAAGCCGAAGCACGTTGACAATTTAATTTTCTTTAAAAAAAAAACCTGCCCTAATCTGAAAAATCAAATCTAATTGACTTTTGTGTTTTGAGTTAAATCAGCCAATCAATTTTTCTTTATTTACAAACAGAACAGGAAAGTTTGTAACCATTCGAGTTCGAATAGTTTATTATAAGTAATATTTTATTTTCTTGTTATTTGTTTTCTGCAGTTTGATTTTAATTTTTTTCAATATAAACACATTAAATGCATTATGAAATGATTGATTTTTTCATTTATTTACAATAAAAATGAAAAAAATAAGGTGTAATTGCTTATAAATCAAACAAACATTGTGCTCCAAAATATCACATCGCGATATTTTGAGGGGGAAAAAATATCGCGATAATATCGCGATACGAAATTTTTGACGATACCCATCCATAGTTTTAAGTTGTGAAATTCATGGCTGTTTGGGTACGAGCTTCTGGTGTTAGGGCGGGGCTCTATTGATTTATAGTGAAAATGTATTATTTCTTTGCAAAACTTCCTCTCTGCCCCTAGGTATTAAGCAAACATAGTGGCATACTGATTGCATGGTTTTGATGAGCAAGATTGCATGGCCATGAAATTGTTAATTTCATGGTCCCTGGGCCAGTGGCTCTGGTGTTAGGGCAGGGATCTGTTTATTTAGTGAAAATAAATTATTTGAAAATCTTTTCTGCTGCTAAGTATTTAGCAGATAAACTAAGTGCATAGTTACGATGAGCAAGGCTGCCTTTTCTAAAATTGTGAAATTCATAGCCCTTGGTTATGGGGTTCTGGTGTAAAGGTTGGGCTTTGTTAGATGAAGATATATCACCTATGAGCAAAAGAAAAAAGGATGATCACGGAAAAACAAAATAGTTAATCTAGTACTCAGTTATAAATCATAGAGTAAATGTATTTAATTGTCAGTGCTAAATAAATCCCTAATTGTCACAATCAATGATCACTATCACTATGCAGTACCTGGTATTTCTGGCGAAATGTAATTCAAACAGTCTCCAAAATTATGCAGTTAGTTATTTATCGTCTTGTACTTTTTTAATATTACAACAGGAGATGATACTTTAATAACAGTCTTCAAATTTCGAGCAAGCTATAGAGGTTACTCGTAAACGAAGCATGGCACACTATAATTGAAGTACAATGTACGAGGGTTGATCCAAGTTATGTTGTAATGTTACAACTGCCGCAAAATTTTGAACAATCAAATGTTACCAACAAAATTTGACATACTAACACCCCTATCTATCCTAATTTTTGCCTTAAAAATCTTTTAATAACAGGTGACTTTCGATGGCTCGAACTCCGATTTTTTATATTAAAACTCTGGTCCCGTTTTTTTTTTATTTTATTATTTTTTTTTATTTTTTTTTTTTGCTCTATATAACCAAGCAAATTTACTTCTGATCTCTCGAACTTCCGGCTTGGATTTCTCGAAAAAAAAAAAAATTAAGTTTTTACACAAGTTTAATCTCAAATCCTCGGAAAAAATTCAGCTAAGATTTTTCTCAGAAATTTGAGCAAAAACTCAGACTTAAGTCTGAGATTTAACTTAAGGTTTTTTTTTTCGAGAAATCCAAGCCCGATCTCTCGAAGTTCTCTATCTCTCGAACTAAGACCTTGATCCCGTTACACACATTTCATTGTTTTGTTTTGTTTTTTTTTACTCTCTATCTCTCTTTTGATTGCGCATGTATACACACCAAATTAATGCAGTTTGGACTTACCTGCATAACAAAGAATGCCTGGGGCTTTCATGGACGTGTAAATTGGGTGTTTACCTAGATGACACTACACCCGTGAGTCGTCCGAGTGTTGATAATTGGTAAATTATATACAAATCGTTTCACAACTTATTTTGACTTGACAGCGAGATGATAAAATAATTTAAGTTAATAATTCTCTATAGATTATGAACTTTTATTAGAGACTACAAAATCCCAGTATGACAAACATTGCAATGCACAAGAAATCCTATTTTAATTAAGAACTGAATACCGATTAATTACGAGCAATCTGGTGAAGGACCCGATCAAGCCCGGGGAATAGCCACATCGACAATTGCTATTCAGGTTACATGTAGTCAAGAAATGAGAACAAATAAATATTGAAACTTAAAGAAATCATTTCATTTATTCAAAATACGATCAATGTTGTTGAAATCTAGTGAATTACCCGTAAAACACGAATGCAAAGGTGCAATGACATTATCAACATACACTTCCGGTATCTATAAAAGTAGAACAATGATGATCAGAACTGCAAATTCCGGATTTTATTCACTTTCTATCTCTCAAACCCCTCGATCTCTCGAGCTTTTCTTACGGTCCCTTGATCTTCGAGAGTCACCTATATATAAAATACTTTTAAAAATATAAAGATAAATACAACGTTAGGTTTTGTCTAACGCATCAGGGCAAGAATGTTACTGACGTTATAACTTATTACTTTTGGCATTCATTTTCAGTTCATCTTTTTAACCTCTCTTCTTTTAATAATCTTTATTGCTATTTTGCTATAAACCGCCTTGTTTTGTGTTGTAGTATTAAATTTGTTTGAACTTTGTCCAAATATTATTTCTAACTTCATTGAATTTCCTTTTTGCAAAAATCTTATGTATTATCAGACTCAAAATGAATGTCGAAGAGAAACGTAATAACAACGTCGGTTCATTCTTCCCGTGCAGCGATAGAAGAGACCCGACGTTGTGTTTATTTTAATATTTTATAAAGAATTGGATATATCTGAATGAAATTTTAGGGGAAAAGTCAAAATGAAAAGAGGCATAAATACAACAATTTTCGCTTATTAAAGATAATAGCAGTTGTGACGTTACTTTTGGATCAATTTCAAATATATTCCTTACTCGAAACTTTTATTTCTGAAATTCAAACACATGCTCAACCTCGATATATTATTATTATTCATCTACTGTTATTAGTCGCCCGCGTGGCGCAGTGGTTAGGGTGTTTGCTCTAGAGTCGCGGAGTAAGGAGCCGATCCGTTCGTCGCGGGTTCGAATCCCACTGTGGAACGTGGAGACCGGTCCTTCGGAAGAGACCGTATAAACCGGTGTCCCGTGTCGCAGTAGGTGCTGGCACGAAAAAGATCCCTCACTGCTTAATGGCCCAAATTAAAGTGCCGAGTATAGGTCAAAATTTGTAGCTCTCCACCAGCAAGTGGTGGCGTCTCCATATGAGTGAAAAATTCTCGAATGGGACGTTAAACAATAAACAAACAACCTACTGTTATTATTCTAAATAAAATTGATACCTTTAAACTGTCTATTTTCCTGAGAAGATATTACTTCCCTTATATGAGGACTACTTCCTGTAAAATCAGAGCTACTACCTGGGACTACTCCTTCGAGCTCATAAATATTTATTATTAATTTTAACCAATTAAAATGCTCAGTGGGCGGACCGTTCAAGGAATCTCGAGTGTGTGACGTAATGTGATTAGCGATGTAACTATGACGTCAAAAAAGTGCGTTGTCAAATTTTTGCAAAATTTTGACAACGCACGTTTTGACGTTATAGTTACAACAATAATTCTTTGAAATATCAATGAAATTATATTTTATTCTTAAATGTTGTAATTTTCCTCGTTATAGATGCATCAGATTTCTAACAAAATTGTAGTTACATCATTTGTGATTATTTGAATCTCCCTATATTGTTTTTTTTAAATGTCTGATCCCTCTGGTTTATAAATCTTTTATGATTGTTTCGGTATAGTAAAACAGTTATGGAATGCATGGGTACTCGGGAATCATCAAATTTATGGTTCCTCTCGTCAGGAAACTATTTCCCTCGGCCGCCTCGGGAAATAGTTTCCTCCCTTTGGGAACTATAAATTTTCTATTTCCCTCATACCAATTCTATAACTGTATAATGTCGGGGCAACCTTCGAACAAGATTTAGAGCGAAGGCTTGATCTAATTTTGACAACAACAATCTCTCTTTTTAGCTTGAATTGTAGTCCCAGGCAATTTAAATAACCCCTCATTCTAGCTGGTTCCAAAACTGGAATAACCTCGGGACGGATTATTTAGACAAAAAAGAAAACACTAATAACAAAACTCTCTCCCTTTCTAATTTTTTATGAAAATTATTACTTTAGCCAAAAATAAAGAGTTTTGTAAGTATTATCAAGCACGTGTAACTATGTGTGCAGACAGTTTTGAAATTATATATCATCTTTTTTGATAGCTAATGACGTTATAAAAAGAAAGCCCCCTGTTGCATCTAATAAACCATAATTGTAGAACCATAATTGTAGATTGAGAAATGTCTGGTTGATAAATTTATTATGTTTTAATGTTGGTGAATAAACTATTAACTTGTTAATATCTTCATCATGTGTGAATTTAATTTTGTCTTGGTGGTGATCCCTCACAGCTAAGGTGTGAGCAAAAAGTGGTTTCAAAAGTTTAACATAGAAAACAATTAATGTATGCATTGAAATCGTCTAAAAATTTAGTAGGGTATGATAAAATATTGATATGTACAAAACATTGATATAAATGTTTATCTTCATTTATTTACATGAATGAAATTAAATTTATTTTAAAATCAATTTAATGGTTACCCAAGTTATACTGTATGACTTGTGTTGGGGCAGTTTACGCTTTATAACAGCGTAGTGAGTAGCTATTAAATTTATTCCTTGTAATTCAATTCCATCATTAAGTGTAAAAAAAAATAATAAGATTTTTCCCTTCAAAAAGGCCTGTAAATTCTTCAAATTTTAAATATAAGTTAAATGTACGTTTTGACATAAGTCACTGTGATGTAGGCAACACAGGTTATATGATATAAACGAATTTTTCTATCCAATCAAATGGTGCAGAATTAAATCATTCTTCTTTCTTAAATTCTATTCATAACAGACCCCATAGTCTGGAACCGTTGGTGTAGAGTAAGGTTGGGCCATACTTTTTAACTGTAATCACTAACATTGAACTTCTTGTTATTATATGGCAACGAAGATGATATCGGGGATAATTTGTGTCATAGGCTTTAGCAGGCGTAAAACATTTTTTTTTTCAGCCATGCAGAAAAAAACGACTTGAAACTTATTAGTTACCTTGAACAAGAACAAATTTTTCGATTAAAAGCTGAGAGAAAAACGAAAAAAGTGACTCCAACTTCGCCCCTAAAATACCCGTGTGAGTGACCTCAATCAAATTTTACGGATGAAAAATAATGATTAAAAAAAAACATGTCTCTGTGAAATCCTTCTCACGATCATATTTTCACCCAGAAAGCGCTCAGGTTAAAAGGTGAAGTGACCTTGAACAGATTTGCTACACCAGAAAGGTCAAAGAAGTCCCTTATGAAGTCATTGTCAATGTCATATTTCCTCTCCCCTTGGCCCAAATCTGGCTAAACATGAAATGCATGCGAGTAGAAGATGAGGATGTGCAGTTACCCTGGAGCAATTTTATATATAAAAGGTTAAGGTGAAAAAAAAACCTTATCAGGAAATATTTACCAGTTTATTGCTTATAGGTAACGGGTCAGCAGACTCTGACTTTTAAAGTTCTTGGTCAGATGTCATCTCTGTGTGAAATCCTTGTCATCAGCATATTTTTCCCTATAGCTTCATCTAACCCATACTTCAACCAGTGAGGACCCGTGGTTAAAGGGTTGTAAGTCAAAGGTCAAAGCAGATATCCTTTAAATCTTTGTGTTGAGCATATTAACTCTCCCCTCCTCCAATATGAAATCACACTTCAATACAGGGAGGCAGTGTGACCCCCCCCCCCCCCCGAACTGCGCATGCTCTTCTTTTTTCCCTAAGCGGGGGACAAAAATTCTCTGAATTAGCTTGTCAAACATAGCAATATATTGGGCACTAAAGCCAACATTGACTAGCAAAAAATTCTATCTTGAAATCTAAATATTCTATGTACATGTATTAAAGAGAATCTTCTCTTCACATATTGAAGAATAGGCAATCAAATCTTTATATCCATATTTGCTTCAATATACATGTATACATTTAATAATTCTACAAATCGGGGGGGGGGGGGGGTTACACCCCCTTTCCGAACTGCGCATGCTCTTCTTTTTCCTCAAATTCTCTGAATTAGTTTACTTTAAACTTTTGATAAATTACAGAAAGAGAGATTGTTCATATATACCCTTTCTCAATAAAAATAGCTTTATTTATGAACCATTGATACGTTTTGATTTCATTTATTTATATAAATCTGTAGACACACTGTAAACAATTATATATAGTTACGAAAAAACCCTTATATCGTACATAATGTTAAGGAAATTTTTTATATAATGTTTTAATCAAGGTAAGGAATCTCTGTAAACAAATTAAACTTTACATCGAACTTTAAGTTAGGAAAACCCAAATGAATATGTCTGTGTTTGTTATACGCTAATATCTTTGTATTTATTGATAACTAATAGAAAGTCCAACAAACGTTTGCTTCGGTTTAACAATTTCTATGTTGACCTGTCTACAGTCCAACCTAAGAGAGGTAAGGCAACAACGTCACAGATACTTAATAGTTAAATACGGAAATAGTAGAAGTTTAGTGTTTCAAGAGTTGTCTTTTAATACTCGAAAGACCCCTGACAAAGAAAATGAAATCAAAAAGTATTCTTAATAAACACACTTAAACCAGAAGGAACTGACGAGACTGTAGCTCTACCGGTTGTCTATTTTAAAAAAAAAATTTCAAATTGAAATTAAAGAAACATAGGTGTAAGAAGCTGTTACATCGAGATTGTTTTCATATACGCACATTCGAATTACTTACAGAGGGCTAGAATACTAACTTGAAAGGTTTCTGGATAAATTTTATTGTAATAAAACGTTATTCAGTACTAAGGCAAATAAAGTGCTTAGATAAACAATATCCAAAGAATTTGCAAACATGTACAATGTAGTGAAGTCATATGGAAGGTACTACAACTTTTTTAAACAGTGATCTAAGCGACTATTTGTGTAAATGGGGCAACTGGTGTACATCTATAATACGTTTTACTGTATTAAATTTTTTGCACGGGACTGTTTTTACAGACGAAATAGATGTAGATTATTGTCCTTTTGATGTTTAATTCATATTTCACGCATATTTAAACCTTTTACATATTTCAAATTTAGCATCCGTCAGATGAAACATTAATCATTGCCCCTTATCAAGGATTATAACCCTCTTTGGCCCACAAAACATTGTTTCTCTGATTTCCTAAAATAAAAAAAGGTTTCCACAAAAAGGGCCGCCAGTGAAACCAAACGCCTTTCCAAAAAGGTCATACCCCAAAAATATTGCCGAAATACTGCTGATTCGGCGTAAATCAGTCAAATGTTGGCCGGCTTTAAATGAAGTTTCTTTGCTTCTTAATATAGGTCCAGTTATTCACGTCATCTTTCAAATCGATAAAAAAAAAAAAACACTCAACTTAGTCAGCAATGATGCTAGATCTGCAGAAAGTTCTTGTCTATTTGTTGCAATGTGTATAATTCTTGAAAATTCAAGTATTCAATTTAAATTTCCCTTGTTTATATACGTACTATAACAAGGTAAGCCCTAGATTTCTTGAAAATCTTGTGTTTCAGTGTAATTAAACGATGGACCCTTCCAGTATCTTACACTTTTCAACTTAGGTTCAAGGGCATTATGTAGAGCATTGAATGAACTCAGTGAAGGAAAAACTGAATAAAACCTCACTTTTTTGTCAGATTTTAAAATGTCAGTAGGTTTTACATTGAATGTTTTTTCTCTTTAGCTTAATTGTGATTCTCTTCCTTTGACTTGGCGAGTTCATATTCAAGAACTTTGATTTAAGATTTAAATTTCAACACTATGTACATGCAAGATTCACAAACTTCAACATAATCATGATCAAAAGAAACTCTTTGTTTTAAATCATCTTTGTCCAATTGATGATCATTCTCTCTCACTTCATCTTGAAATTTTCTTCTTTTTTTTTTGATTGCATGAGAGAAATCATTTCTTTCTTTGGGGGGGGGGGGGGAACTCCTCTTTGCTTTAGTGGATTAGAGTCACCCATGTGTAGAGCAGGGTAGGGATTAAGTGTTGTTGGTTTCCCATCTATAAAAATGGCATGAGCACACCTTCGAGTAGTAGAAATCTGGCTCCATGTTTCGATTCCCTGAGGAACGATTTACATTTTTCACCCAGACAGCTCTTGCATAAGGGTCTTTTGCCACAGATGGAAATGGAATGGAGGTTCACAAATACATCTTTCTGTTCCATAATTTGTATTATGAATTGAACAAAACTGTTGTCTCTATTTTTTAATGTATACCAGCTGTTTGTGCATCCTTTCACACAACAGCTCCTTGTGGACATGATAAGATTAAAACAGAGTTTGTGATTATTAGCACAAAACTGTTGGAAGTTGTAAAAAAAAAACTGTAACAACGTAAGTAAAACACAACACAAAAAAGCACATTTACCGACATTCATAAGTGCTGAATATCTGAAATTATGCATTAGTATTCCCGTCACCAAAAACCTTTTTTTATATATAAAAAAAAAAAAAAAAATTAGGCTTGTGGTTTATTAATTAAATTTAAGAAAAATGAATGAAGCTTTATACATGTAATCTTGAACTCTCGATAGTAACCTTAGAACATTTTTTTTTCTGACTGCTATAATTTTTCAACTTACGTGCTTGATAAATGTGTTATAATCGGTTATAAACCTGATGATCAGTTGTCTTCGTTTGATGGTACCGTTCACGGTAGCTCAGTCGGTAGAGCGCTCGCTCCGTGATCGGGAGGTCGTGAGTTCGAATCTCGGCCGCGACAGACCCAAGTCGATAAAAAATGGGTAGCAACTGTTCCTTCGCCATGCGCTCGGCACTTTGAAGTGAAAGTTGCGGGTCCTTCGGATGAGACCTTAAAAACCGAGGCCCCGTGTCACGGCAGGCGTTGGCACGATAAAGATCCCTCACTGCTCAATGGCCCTGAGTGCCGAGTAAAGGTCAAAATTTGAAGCCCTTCACCGGTATATGGTGACGTCTCTATATGAGTGAAAAATTCTCGAATGGGACGTAAAACAACATACAATCAATCAATCAATCGTTCGATGGTTTACAGGTATGAAGAACCCGGATGTATTTTTCCCCTATGACCTCTGACCTGACGTGACGTTTTAGTGTCCAATAGGACTAATTCCCTCGGCCGCCTCGGAAAATAGTGTTTGGATAGCTTGGTTCGTTAAATATAACGCCGAGTTCAAAAGCACATGTTTATTCAATATGGCGCTAAAAATACACATTAGGTCGTTCATCAAAAGGTCACACATTAACTAGATAGTCCGTACGATAGCACATTTACTAAACATCTCCCCTCTGAACCTATATGACTAGGATTTCAAGGCAATTGACTAGAATAGAAACATAAGCTACAAATAAAACTCATCTTGCATGCATGCATTACTTGTTACATACAAATCAGAATAATATAACACAGAGTTCACAAATTCATTCGTACATGTAGTCGTTGAATCTTTTGGGTTTGTGAACGACGCAACCCGAACGAGTTATGGTATTGGACTTCACGGGAGGTGATGTAACTTCCCGGCTAGGCGGCTCAGAGGGTGGCTCAGCATCAAACGAAACAGTTGGTTTTCTGTCAGTTAGCGGATACGGCACGTTTACGGTAGGTGGCGATTCTGTATTCACGCAAGTGCCTCTCCTCAATATTCCATGATCGACTTCCATAGGAATGACCGAGTTCTGTAATTTGCACTAGTGATTGTGCCGCTATCTGTCCACTGTTTCTCTTTGTCGGTCTTAATACGAACTTGGTCCCCTGGTCCAAGTGGAAGGAGTTTCCTAACCCAAATCGGTTGTCATACTGAAACTTGGTAGTTTCCTTCGAACACGCGTCCTGTCTCCTCACCTGGTCCAAGTCCAGCCAATTTGGTACCAGTGAAGTTGGTTTGACTGAAACAACGGTTTGAATTCTGCGTCCCATGATATGTTCGGCTGGACTGACTCCTGTTGTCCATATGGGTGTTTAACGGTACGCCATAAGCGCAACAAAGATGTCATCCTGCCGTAATATACGTTTCGCAGTCTTGACAGCGCTCTCAGCCTCGCCGTTTGCTTTTGGGTAGTGAGGACTGGTGGTTGTATGCGCGAATCAATACTTAGCTGCGAACTTCTTGAAAGAGTCTGACGTAAACTGGGTGCCGTTGTCGGTTACCAATTCCTCTGGAATACCCCAACGAGTTAATATATTCTCGAGTTTTCCAATTACGTGAGCACTAGTCAACGAATCCAGGTATGCAATTTCCAGATAACGAGAAAAATAGTCTGTAACTACTAGGAAATGTCTACCCTTCAGCTCACACAGATCTGCAGCAATCTTTTGCCATGGACGATCAGGAAGGACTATGGTCTTCAACGGTTCTCGGTTCTGTTTTGACTGATGAACAAGACAGAATTCGCAGGACTTATCAGTACGCTCTATGTCGGTTGAAATTCCTGGCCACCATACAGCTCCTCGCGCGCGTTCTCGGCATTTGTTCAGACCTAAGTGTCCAGAATGTGCGTCTTTCAATGTTTCTGGTCTAAGTGCCTTTGGAATAACGATTCGATCTCTGTACATTAGAATACCATTCCAGACAGACAATTCGGATCGTGCGGAAAAGTATGGTCGGATTTCTGCTCTCGGTAATCTCTCATGGTCTGGCCACCAGTTCTGAGTCTTCTTCAAAACTTCAGACATCTCTGGATCATCTGCTGTTGCTAATCGAATGCGCTCAGTCGTTGGTCAGATATCGGAAGATTTTTTTTACAACACAGTCTACATGAAGATTGACTTCCTCCTCTGTATCCTCAGCATTTCCAGTTAGCAGACTCCTGGAAAGAGTATCTGGAACCACAAGATTTTTCCCTGGCATGTGTTCTGCTATTGGATTAAATCTGCGCAAACGCATCAAAAGTCTTTGACATCTCACCGGTGTCCTGTCTAGAGCTTGAGTGTTAATAAGCGGAACGAGAGGTTTGTGATCAGTGATGTGTTTGAATGAATCGAGTCCAATGATGTAGCGCTCGAACTTCTCACAGGCCCATACAGATGCTAAACACTCCTTCTCGATCTGTGCATATTTGGTTTCGGCCGGTGTTAGTTTCCTCGAAGCAAACGCAATAGGTTTAAGTTGACCATCAAACTGCTAAAATATGGCAGCTCCTAGGCCAAAGTTACTGGCATCTACACTAATCACGACTGGCTTTGAAGAATTGTAGAAGACTAATGCAGGTGTTTTTGTTAGCATATCCTTCACCCTTTCGAAGGCCTCTTCCTGGGGTTTTTTCGCATATCCATACCGAGTCACTCTTCATAAGGTCAGTTGGGGGGTGCATAACCGTAGAAAGATTTGGTAAAAATCGACCAAGATAATTCACCATTCCAAGTATTCTCTTCAGTTCAGTCACATTTGTTGGTGCAGCCAAATCACGTATTGCACGCACACGTTCTGGACATGGACTGATCCCATCTAAACTAATCAAGTGTCCAAAGTATTCGATGCTCTGTTTCCTGAACTCGCATTTCCTCTTGTTAAGTTTAAGACCAACTTCCTTAATACGGTCCAGTACAAGGTCCAAACGCTCGTCATGCTCCTCCACAGTACTTCCGTATACGATAATATCGTCCATGATAGCATCCGCTCCGTTGATATCTGCTAATATCTCGGAAAAACGACGCTGAAATATTTCAGGGGCTTACGTTATCCCGAAAGGTACTCGCTGGAAACAGTATCGTTCAAAGGGAGTTATGAAGGTAGTGAGGTGACAACTCTCTGGAGCTAGAGGTATCTGGTGAAAACCACTACTAGCATCAAGCTTTGAAAAGACTGTAGCCTTGCTCAACTTCGGGGCAATGTCATCCAAGTTGGCCAACATGTAAGGCTTGACTGCCTGATTCAGTTTCTTAAGATCAACACACAAACGAACATCCCCATTTTTCTTGAATGCTGTCACGATTGGTGCGCACCAATCTGTCGGTTCTGTGACTTTCGCAATGATTCCAGCATTCTCCATTCGGTTTAGTTCTGCCTCGACCTTCGGCATCAATGGAAAAGGAATCCTACGTGCTGTTGTGACACAATATGGAGTGGCTCAGGGCTTAAGCGTTTTCATATCAGGTGAGCCCTTTACGCATCCATGTGTACCGAACACATCCCGTATTTCCTCATTTTTCATCACGAAACCCATACTGTGTGCAACACTTCGACTGAGCAAATTAGAACCACTGTTAGAGTTCTTAAGCACATACACTCGAAAATGAAACTCAGTGTTCTTGTGAAAAGTCTTAGCAACGAACATCCCTTTACATTCTACTGACCCTCCTGGGCTGTACAACTGATTTGTTGAAGCCTGTGGTTTGGGCTTTACTGGCAATGAATTATATGTCGTTTCCGTTATCACCGATGTGTCAGCACCAGTGTCAGTCTTAAATGTAGTGTATTTTCGACACACCTTCAGCTTTACCGTCCACACATCTGTATTGTCTGACTCGCTTAGGTCAAATGAACCCATGTAAAATGAATCAGATGATGAACATGCATCTTGAACTTCCTCTAGGTGTTTGGGTTTACTTCGACAAAATATCTTAAAATGTCCTTTTTTTCCCCACACTTTAAACATTTCTTCCCTGACAGTTTCCAGGATTGTGCTTCATATTACACTTGTCACAGTTATTGTAAACTCTTTCCTTAGCTTTAGGCTGTCTGCTGTAATTGTGTTTAGGGTGTTAGCCATTTTGCTGCCTAACTCTCACTGCATCCAAGTTCTTAGATTGTAAGTCTTTAATCTGATGTTTCACTAACTCTGAATTATGTGCCATCTCGACAGCTTTTGTGAGTGTAATTTCAGATTCAAGCTGTAGTTTCTCGCTTAGTTCCTCGTCGATAATGCCCACAACTAACCTGTCACGAATTTGGTCGTTCTTAATCAAAGTGCGCCGCCAACTCGTGCAAGCTTCGGCTGAATTCCTCAACTGACTCTCCCTGGCCCTTGCTCTGGATGTGGAATTTGGCGCGCTCATGAATCACGTTTTTCTTTGGAACAAAATATTTGTCAAAACTTTCAAGAACCTTATTGAACTTCTTCTCATCACCATTAGAGAATGCGGACTTAAATATTCCCTCTGCTTCCGGTCCCATGGCGTAAATAAGAAAACTTATCTGTATTTATTCAGCTTCGTCGCGATCTGAAAACGTGTGAATCGCTGCTTCCATTCCGGCCACTCATTCGGCCTGGTGAAGGCGAAATTTTCTGGAGAGTTGAACTTCGGCATACTGGCGACTTCTACACTTCTGACACCATGTTTGGATGGCTTGGTTCGTTAAATATAACGCCGAGTTCAAATGCACATGTTTATTCAATATGGCGCTAAATCTACACATACACATTAGTTCGTCCATCAAAAGGTTACACATTAACAAGATAGTTCGTACGATAGCATATTTTTTAAGCAAATAGTTTTCTCCCTTCGGAACCATAAATTTGCTATTTCACTCATACCAGTTCCATAACTTAATAATATCTGGACAACCTTCGAACAAGATTTAGAGCAAAGGCTTTAATTATCTAGTTTTGACAACTACAATCTCAATTTTAGCTTGATTTGGAGTCACAGGTAATTTAAATAAGCCCTCATTCTAGCTGGTTCCGCCCGTTATTAGCAGACCTTTTTTGTATTCATATGAAGCAGAATTTGTTCAAAATCTTATATGTGAAAAGAAGAAAACACTTGCTGTGGTTTTCAACTCGACATTTAGATATATCGATGACGTATTGTCAATTAACAATAGTTATTTCCATTCATATGTCGATACGATAAATCCCGGTGAGTTTGAGATAAAAGATACTACAAAGTCTAACACACCTGTTTCATATTGGATATTTTACTTGAAAAAGACGTTAATGGTAATCTAACAACCAAGCTTTATGATAAACGTGACGACTTTAACTTTTCAATCGTCAACTTCCCTTACTTTTGCAGGGTTTATATCTCTCAGTTGCTTCGATACGCAAGAGCATGCTCTACGTATGTACAATTTCTAAAACGAGGTAAATTATTGACAAACAAGTTGATGAAACAAATATATCAGCAGTCTCGTTTAAAGTCATCATTTCGTAAGATCTATGGTCTATACAATGACCTTGTCAGCAAAGACAATTTATCATTGAGTCAAATGCTGACTGACGTTTTTCATACTAATTGTTAGGCCATTATTTACACTCTGAATTGTCGACAGATTTTTCTGTTATTTCCTAATCATGACAAGGAGCACACGGCGGGTGTGACCGGTCGGCAGGGGATGCTCACTCCTCCATGGCACTTGATCCAACCTCTGATGTTTTGGAGATCCGTGTTTGCTTTGCACCTATTTTGTAATGTTTAATGGACTTTTGAGCTTGAATACTGTTAGTTATCTCCATATATTTCATTCCAAAACTGGAATAACCTCGGGACAGATTATTTTGACAAAAAAGAAAACACTAATAACAAAACTCTCTCCCTTTCTAATTTTTGATGAAAACTATTACTTTAGCCAAAAATAAAGAGTTTTGTAAGTATTATCAAGCACGTGTAACTATGTGTGCAGACAGTTTTGAAATCATATATGTTCTTTCTAATGGCTAATTACGTCATAAAAAGAAAGCCCCCTGTTGCAAGTAATAAACCATAATAGAACCATAATTGTCTGCTTGATTAATTGATAATGTCTTAATGTTCATGAATAAACTATTAACTTGTTACTACATTCATCATGTGTGAATTTAATTTTGTCCTGTTGGTGATCCCTCGCAGCTAAGGTGTGAGCAAAAAAAGGTTTCAAAGGTTTAACATAGAAAAAAATTTATGTATGCATTGAAATCGTCTAAAAATTAAGTAATTATGATAAAAATTGATATGTACAAAACATTGTAGGTATACATATTTATCTTCATTTATTTACATGAATGAAATTCTTTTTTTGGGGGGGAATGAATTTATTAGTTACCCAAGTTATACTGTATAACCTGTGTTGGGGCAGTTTACGCTTTATAAACAGCGTAGTGAGTAGCTTTTAAATTTATTCCTTGTAATTAAATTCCATCATTAAGTGTAAAAAAAAAAGATTTTTCCCTTCAAAAAGGCCTTCAAATTCTTTAAATTTTAAATATAAGTTTAATGTAAATTTTGATGCAAGACGTTGTGAAGTAGGCAACACAGGTTATACGATATTAACGAATTTTTCTATCCAATCAGATGGAGAATTAAATTATTTTTCTTTCTTAAGTTATATTCATAACAGACCCCATAGCCTGGAACCGTTGGTGTAGATTAAGGTTGGGCCATACTTTTTAACTGTAATCACTAACATTGAACTTCTTGTTATTAATATGGCAACGAAGAGGATATCAGGGATAATTGGTGTCATAGGCTTTAGCAGACATAAAGCTTTTTTTTCAGCCATGCAGAAAAAAACGACTTGAAACTTATTAGTGACCTTGAACAAGAACAAAGAATGAGTGCACTTTAGAGTGTCATTTGGAGCCTTTTCGGCCACCCATTTTAAGCCTTAAATTAGACTATATTGCTAAATTAATCTATGATTATTGTGCATACATATGATTTTGATATTTATACTTCGAATATTCTGTTAAACATATTGCTATAATTCCACACAACGTCATTGAAAAGAACATGTATAAGCCTTAAATTCCGGAAAT